TGAAAAATAATAAATTTTTAATCTTTGCATTTCTTTAAATAAATTCAACAACAGTTTTTTACATTTTTCCAACAATTGTTTAGAGTGGACTTGTTTGCTTTTGCATGGCACCTCCACAAATATTCAAGTACAAAGTAACCGTTATTTAACTACTACTTAAGTAGAAATAAATTAAAGATATTAGAGAATTAGAGACATAAATAAAACCCTGCTGAAAGAGCTGGAATTTTACTTAAACAAAAGCTTAACGAAACCAATCTCTAGTGAGTACAGTGGGGGACTAATTTCATTGCAATGTTAGTTGTAATAAAGACAAATTTTTCCAGTTTAATGAATACAACTGAAAAGTTGTAAATTTTGGCAATTTCCATTGACACCTGGTCATAAAACAAATTAGCTCTATTGTTCGTTATTTGTTTTCTATTAAGTTTAACATATACAGATTTTTACAACTATGGTGAGAAATGTTTAAAATTTACAACAACCCTGTCGCATCCTTTGAGGTACAATAGTGATGAGACAAGAGGCATTTGACATTGGTATCAGCACCCTCGGAATTTGATAGCCTATGTGCATGCACACCTACCAGGACCATATCTCATTCCACCCATTAGCAACTCATATGGAGCTATTTGACTAAGTGGATTTTCTTAAGATTTAAAAAGTAAATAATATTTTATGTTATTTTTAAGTACGTTTCTTTACAAAGCTATATTTAATTATAATTTTCTTTAAAATTATATTCATACAATTGAATATTTTGTACCAGGTGTATATATATATACACACACACACACACACACCACACATTTTATTTCACCTAGTAATTTTTTTGATTTTATTTTTAGCCCTTATATCATGGCTAGCGATTCAGAATGTAATTGTGATATTAAAAATACATTTAGAGAAGTCTACGGTTTTTACTGGCTTATCGAACAAACAAATAAGAATGGTCCCTAAACCATTACTGATGCACAATTAACTGATTGCCCCTGGAAATTAGCTTCTTACAGAAACACAGCTTCCCTATCATCAAAAAAGTCATGGCACACCACTGGTTTATGGAAAAATGTTTTTTTTTTTTTTTATTCTCAAACAGAAAAATCAGTTTCCAAACAACTTTTAGGAATGAATTAAAGTTTGTAAACAGATTCGACTGTTAACGTTTCCTTTCTGGAATTGCATAGTAACAGGAATTTTAGACCAAAAGCATTTTCTGAACTGAACTTCGGTGTTATATTGATCTGAAAACCTTAGATGGATTTACTACCCAATTGAAAATATCTTGGAGGATCATTAGTTAAATCTGCAGGAAACTGCCAACAGAACTAAATGAATATCATAAGCAAAGTCTATTACAATAGCATCTCTTGGCTCTAAAAATTACAGGGGTAACTCACTAAAAACAAATCTTACTTTCAACATAAGATTTTACAGCTGCCATCAAACAGTAATGTTAATTTGCAGCTGAATTTAATTACAATTAAATCTTAACATATTCACTGCTGTTTAAATTTTAAACAGTTTTCTTTGAGATTCAAAAACAATTTTAGAAGCTTCACATTTAGTGAAGAAACTTCACTAATCTATAGTAAACTTTTTAATGATGTAACGAATATTTGGTTTTTATTCGGTATTGGGCCTATTTTTTGCTATTCGGCCAAATACCTATAAACAGGAGTAAGAAATAACAAAAACACAGTAAATTAATCATTTTGGTATTTAGATTTAATGTTGTCGGGTTAGTGTTGTTTGTTTATATTTATTTAATTTATTTATAACTTATAACATGCACAAAATAAAGAAAATAATAGTCATATGTATTCACAATTTATAATTACAAAGATCAGCACACGTATACACTTATTCGTTCGAGAATTGGTGCATATCCGAGGGTCTAACCCTGCCTATCTTTTTTAAGCACTCGTCTTTGCTCTTCCCTTTCCTCTATCACTCTAGTCCATGTACACCTATGCATACATCATAATACATGCTTACAATACTTTCAATTCGTCACTTTTCCGTCATAGATTTCCCATTTTACAATTATGTGACTCGTAGTCTGGTGATAAAGGAGAAAAGAGACAGATATAACTGACATATATCGACATCCTAATTTCACAGATTCGAGACAGCTTGGTAGCCCGAATGATCTCAGGTTTTCGCCCGTGCATGCTAAGTGACTTTCATTACAAGCATTTAGCTTTCCGAAGTCTATGACAACAATTGTTTGGCATTGACGGCCATAAATTTCGCGCCAATAAGCTGCTTCGACTTGTTCGATTGTGTTATCAACTCAATTTCATAATTTATTTTCACTTTGCTGTCCTCTGTTCTTTTTCCATTATTTGCACGTGTAGGTCATTTCATTGTTATCCACATTTGATATCATTTATCACATACTGCCATGACGCTCATCTGTCCGCTACAACTGTCAAGAAATAATGTGATTGGCGAAGCATAGTGACGTCAAGAAATAATGTGATTGGCGAAGCATAGTGACAGTGGGCCAATAGAGAGCAGGGTCCTTGCCATAATGCAGTTTGTGCGCCAATTTTCCTACATATGTTAATCAAGCCGAATAGTTTGGCCGAATATACTATTTGTTGCAACACTACTATAGATACAAGTTTAATATAATTTGCTTTTAAGCTTACTTATAACATGAAATTATACCATATTGAAATGCTATTGATTCCACACTTTTCCAGAAAAATGGAAACATTTAAATCTCTTATTTTAAATATTTTTTTAATTCTAAAATTTAAAAATTCTGTAATTTATAATGAAATAGGTAATTAATTTCTTAGAACTTTACTGTGTATTTCACACAATACTTCATAAAAAAAAAAATATATATATATAATGAAATTATTACAGGACTAGTGTAATACAACATCAAGATTAGTTTAACACTGTTGACAAGTACTTTTTCTGCATTTCTTGGACCATGCAGACAAGTACTTAACAAAAAAGTGCAATTTCATGATCTTGACTTTGCACTTCATGGTATTTGAAAAGTGATTCTAAAAATTATGTAAAGAATTTATTCTGGTAAATTTTCACAATAAGACAAGTTTAAAAAAAAATTGAATTTTAACTGAAATCCTAGATTTAAATTTTGATTTAATGAACAGTTAAATAAAATTAAAGCTTTCTTTAGAAGTAATTTTTAAACAGAACTACTTATGTAATAGTTTACATTGCACAATATTAATTTCAAAAAAGAAAAAAATTTATTCTATTGTAGATTTTATCTGAAACAATATTGGTCCAGGTTATCTTAGATAAGGACTATCATATTTATATTAATTCTTCCCTTGCAACTTTTAATTTGGTTTAACAAAATTCACTTGATTGGAAATTTATTACACATATCAAATGAATAGATTACTTATATTTAAATCTTAAAATAAATATTCAAATTGAGAAATCAAATATATTTAATGGTTGTAAAGTTTGAGATAAATACAAAACGCTAGATAGATTCCAAAATCATTTGCTCAATTTGGGAATACTAAACTTATTCCAAAGTGAATTATGGAAAAAATAAAAATTGTATAATTTTTATTTTAAAGTTGCTACCATCTTTTACCAATCTCCCCAGTAAAGAAGATTAAGATTATTTTTATATTGACCTAAATATATATGTTTTATTAGGTTTCTCATGCCTGTAAGCTGTAATTACTAAAAAGTCATGTCAAATCATCAAATGAATTTATAAAATTAAGTAGCTTATTATTTTATTATAAAATGACTATTTTAGCAAAATCTCTAAATTCAAAAACATTTTATATGCACAAGTTTCTTAAATTATTAGCAAGAGATAGTCTTAAGAAAAATTTAGGTTGTGGCATAGATATTTGGACTCAACTTACAATTATTATTTAAAAAAAAAAAAAAAACATTCTAGGATTCCAACTTGACAGTTAAAGCTAAGTTTTATATAATATAAAATTGCATTAAGGCTTCTATATGACAAACATTTGTACTAATGAAACTTTACTTATTCTACATTTTGTACTTAAGGGAAGCATTTAAAAAAAAAAAAAAAAAAAACCAAACTTCAAGAAAACAAAGTTAAATTTATTCAGATGACTTCCTTGTCTATTAAATGAAAAACTATTATCTTTCATTAAATATTGATAAAAAGTTAGGGGAAGCATCATTTATGTGATAACATTGATATTTTAATTATGAAATCTAGCCAAATTAGAACATTCATCTAAGCCCAAGTCTTCTTTACTTTTAGCAATAAAACAGAAGTTATAGCATAACAGCTATTACTTTATTATAGATATACATAAAACAGCACTTTTCCTCCCTTTTTCAAAAGGGAACACTAAGATATACTGAAATAAAAAGATCTAAAAAGTAGGTTTTGCATTTAAAATTAAATGTAAAACCTACTTTAGATCTTTTTACTTCAGTTAATATGCTTAAGAATTCATTTCCTTATTTTTCAGTTTCATTATGTAGTTCACAGTACAAATTCATAAAAAAAAATTATTTGGGATTACATTATGATTATAAAATAGGATGGAAGTTTTTTTTTACCATGAAATATATCTGATAATTTCAAAATCTAATTTGAACTGTAACCTTAAAAAGCAAAAATACATGTCACATGATAACCTGATAACAAATTACAACACACATTAAGTTTACAATACAAAAATTCAAACAGAAAACTTTGAATTTTTATTAAATTAAAAATCTTTTATTAGACGATAATAATAATAAAGCTATTAAATAAGGATAATTAAAAATAAATGCCATATTTACATTCAGTTACAATTAAAAAAGTAATCTGTGTCAATCTTAAATGGCGTAGTCACATGAGCATTACGCATATATAAATTTATATTTGCTTACGTTTTAAACATGAAAATTAGCAGAATTTTTAAAGCAAAAAAGTATATACGAAAATGTTCTATCGAATGAACGGAATTACATTAGAAAATTTTAAAATTTCGAACTATACGCAATAAATCACTTACCAAATATTAAACATCCAAGAACAAATAGTAAATAAGATTTCATTTTGCTAGAATATAATTTCATCTTCCCTACATAAACTTTTTCTAACTTATAAATTTGCGCAAGAAGGAGAACAACTTTGTACCCTCTCTCTTATATGTGTAATAGAATTGCGGCTTGATATTACCGGATAAACGTCAATACCCCCTAACTGTTGTTTACATTAAAAAATTTTTAATTAAATTATTATTCTTGTTTTAACGAATAAAAATTTTTAAATAAAANGGGGCAAAAGGACCGAATTTTCTGTAATGCTATGTAATCTGCCCGAGTTAACTCAGGCGAGGAACAGAAGGACAGACTGACAGTGGGAATTTATAGGTCTACAATTTTTCAAATTGCAGTCCAACAAAATCAAATGAAGACAGTAGTAGGATTGGTTATTCAACATAGATCCTATTAAATAATACTTTAAGGGTTAGCTATTCTACAGTGATTTGTAAAACATTTGTTTTCATAAAATCTTCAGTTCTTCATATCTAATATAAATCTGAACTAAAAAAATCCGCCTAATGGTAAGCAATTATCAAAATTAATTTTACCGTAAGGGCATCAAAAATTTAAGATTATAAATAATAAAACATGTAGACAGTTTAGAATATGAACATAAATATTAGATATTTGGTTTAGCCCTCCTAAACTAAAAAATTTTTAAAAAGTTGTTTTTATTAAACTTCATGGTGGTAAGAGAAGTCTTCTCCAGTCAATCATTTCAAACAGTAACAGGGAAAACCATGCAGACCCTTTTGTAAAGGTATACTATGTTGGGATGAGCTGAACAAATGGTTCAAATAGCTCATTTTGAAATAGCTTGAAGAGGTGGCAATGGTAGCATAATGAAAATAGGACAGCATTATAAAAATTGTAGCATGAAGATTTAATTGAACCTTTTAGCATATTCCAAGATAAGGTGGGATCCCAAAACAGATCATCAAATATGATATTCTTTACTGCACAACAAGCAGTAACAGTGTACCACTGCATAACACAAATGTAATGAGTGGTTGAATATTTAGGCTCAGATTAGCAGTGATATGGTGATTAGGTTAACACTTAAATAAGTGGCATTTTATATTATCTACTAAATTGGATCACTTACATATTCATGATCACTGCCAACCTAAACTTAAAAAAGCAATATGGGAATTGTTGAATGTGCAATTATGTAGCAATGCACTACTGCACAACATTTGGATATGACCACACATTCTTGCAATTGTGTGTGGTCATATCCAATGGGTCTGTTTCAGGATACCACTTGATATTTTAAAAGTGCATTACACTCTTATCTTTTTTAAATTTTTTCATGTGCTACAACTTTGTAATTGATATTACCATTTCATTACAGATAATAGCCCTCTCCGACAGAAGGGCTGTAGGGGGAACAAACAGACTGTTTTTAACAGGGTTTTCCAACAGTTCATAAAACTAAAATTTTTCATTTTTTCACTAAATGTAGAAAAATGCCTTTAATTATGTGGTAGGTTGTTGCATGCATATATATGTTGCAACTGGATTGTTAATTTAGCTGCCTTATTATAAAAACAGCTAGATGCTTTGTAAAGTGGCAGAAATCAGTATTAAAATGTGAATTATGCACTAGGATTAGGAACAAAAATGTTAGAAGTACAAAAAACACATTGTATAATCAAACTTGTGTACATTAACTTGAAAATTATGAAGTAAGTCAATTACTTGCTTTTAAGAAATATATCTTAAAATAAATGACCAATGAACAGTTGATTAGTTAAAATCTAAGGTTACTTTATCATAAATTAAGAATTACTTTTGTAAAAATCAGAACAAAGATTGTACTAGTATGTCAACCTACCTAACTTTTAATACAAAAATCAGAAAACAAACCATTAAATTTCTTCAACATTTACAAAATACCAAATGTATCAAATAGATGTGTTATTAATGCAAAAATAAACTAAATAGGCATTTAGATCTGCAAAGAACATTTTTAAAGCATATGCCTCTATTAGTGTGACACCAATTTTTCATGGGTTTGCATGAGCACTTTTGAAATCAACTATCAAATAATGACTGATCTTTATAATGATGAAATACCAGAATCATGTCTGACTCCATAACCACTTTTTATAGTTATTCTAGATTTAGTCCCTACTTTGTAAACTGGTTTATGAAACTATTTTTTCCATATTTTTAGTACCTAAATGACCACAACCTATTTGTTATATTAAGAAAAATACTTTTTCCAATATCTAATAGGGAAGATTCCTTAGCAACCTTTAATTTCTTTCTGCACTTCTGTTTCAATTTGTATATTATACTAGCTTTTTTATATAAACATCTGATCCATAATCAATTGCTTTTGGACAATCTGCAAATAGCATGAACAAATTTAAACAGGAACTGCATTGATCAACCCTACTAGTTTCATTTTGACACACTGGATAGGTTAGACAAGGTGATAAAATACCTTTTCTAACCACAGAAAATAATGAGTTTCTAAAACCAAATTATCAGAACTGTACAATGTCCATTAGAAAACATTCAGTATGATATTTCACATGTCCTTTTACAACTTTTTGATCATTGTTCATGTTATATAGCTCCTCAGTTTCAATAGATGAAAGAATACAAATCAAGAATATTAGAATTTTGTACATCAGTTTTAAGCTCACTACCCAATAAGGCAATCTGCCAATGACTGATAATTCATTTTACTCATTCCACAAAACAGCACCCAATTGACCATTTGGTCAAATTATTTTCATGCATCCAAGATCTAATGAGTAAGCATATTTTCAACATGTTATAAGATAGTATAGAATGTAGTAACTATTTGCGGATGTTGAGGACTGCCATGCACAATTTCACACACCGACACATTTACAGATTATTTGAGGATTTTTGCAGTGAACTTCCAGTCACTCATTCTGTAGGCTATATGCAGCTCCAAACTGTAAAAAATTTTAACAGTTCTACAGTTACTCTAGATGGCCACTTGAAGCAGTAGCAAGACTGTTACTGTCAAGATAATGCTACTAGCCATTTATACTTTCCATCTGGTGCTGACTATAAATCAATTAAATCAACTCATCCATTTTCTATAAAAATCTTTAGAAAAACTGTTGGTCACAATACATTTCTTAGATATAATTACATTTGATTTTGCAGGTGGGATAAAAGCAACAAACTTCAACTGCTTTTTTTTAATGTATATAAATGTTTTTTATACTGTATCACAGTATAAAAAACATATATACATGTACCATGTCCACAGGATTTATAAATTTCCATCAATACATCAAAATATAATTCAGTGCATATGATATGTACCATAGAATTCTCAGGTAACTTTTTAAAAATAAATACAGTCAATGAATATCTCATCATACTTTGAACTGCATTAAAATTCAATAGACATCCATTGTGCACCAGAATCTAAGGCCATTGTCTAAAATTTTCTAATCCATAGTTACTTCAAATTTCCATGCTGTTCTGCATAGAACTCCATTAGGTGTTGAAATTAATTTTAAACCCACTATAGTCAGATAAACTTCACACTTATTTGTTGTAATATCCAATATTTATAGCAGAACAGACATTAACAACATATTAGTGAATGTCTCTTGGCACCTCGAGTGGTAAGAATCTGAAGTAAATATAGCAACCTGATGCCTCATTGTAAAGCAGCTACTTGTTTGGCCAGTTGTATTGTAGAACAATATCACAATATATCATTCAATCCAGCAGGATTTGGTTTAACCTCTCTGTAAAGTGGCTGAACATTAGCTTTGTTATAAAAAGGCACCATTTAATCACAACGGCTAGGCATTTTGTAAAGCAGCTAAATTAAGAATCTGACTGCAACAAATATTGAAAGGGGTCAATGGAAAAAATTTCTTAAAAAGGGGTTGATACATAAAAAGTTCGGAACCCCCTTGGTTTATTCCAAGTCCAACAGTATAACTTAATTATTCCAAACTAATTAACTATCATCAAATAACTATCTGGAAAGAAATTTACCACCCTGTATCACTGCCTCATTGTAGGTAAGCACTCCCAATTTCTAATTCCTTGTTTCTACTAGGAATATCCACTCTAAAGTAGAAACAATATACATCATCTAGTTTATATAGTGTTTAAAATTTAATAAAATTTGTTTTTACAAACTTGATTTTTTTACAAATTTGTAAAATTTTATTTTAGTGAAAGTAAAAAGTTTATATAAAATTATAGCATTATAAACATGTCTTCTTAAATATTCAATACTAACAGTAATTCAATTACTCAATACTAATTGCATGCTTCTAGTCTACCATAATAGTAACTAAATCTCTTAATGATGTTGTCTTAGGGCTTATTACATGCAGACCAATTTTCAGATTTGTTTTCAACATTCTTATTTAGATTTGTTTTCAACATTAAAAATACATTAAATCTGAAAATCGTCTCCATATATGATAAGCTGTAGAAGAGCCTTGAAGATAATAGTAACAATATAAACAGTGTTAAGTATTACAGTATTAAGTCTTTCTAAAATACTTTTAGGAAATTCATAGAAGCATCTAATTATTAATAGTTCTTTATCAAAAACTGAAAATCAAATGGTAGCTTCCATATTAATTTTGATTATAAATCCATTTAAACCTATAAGAGCATTTTTGATTAAATAGATAATTCAAATTTTCTGTGTGTCTGTCTCATTAAATTTCTACACAAGTTAACTTATGGAAGCTTAAGCTATTGTTTGAGATTTTAAATTTTCACATATTCCACTTTCATAATATATTAATTATTTAAACCAGTGTTTTTCAACCTGTGGGTCGCGACCCCCAGGGGGTTGCAAAGCCTTACATGGGGGGGTCATGGGTGAAAGAAAAAGACAAGTGTTTGTAGGTTCTACACTACAATAAAAAAACTAGAATTTCAGTGAGAAGGCTGTGCCTGTTTATTTTACAGTACAATTGGTTTTTCGATCGATATTTAAAGAAAGAAAATTAAATACGTAGTTTTTAAAATCACTGATAGAGTTTAAATATGGCCCGGGGGGGTCGCCAGAATTTTTTAACTTGTAAAGGGGTCACGTATTCAAGAAGGTTGAAAAACACTGATTTAAACAAACATTTTCATTAGAAGTTTTCAATAACTTCTTATAATTAAT